ACCAGCTGCCCCACATCATTCACGTCTGCTTATTGCCCTGGCACAACCGCACGCTACTGCTCGCAAGCCAGACACGAATGTTGCCAAAGGGTACCTTGTGTGCACGCGACACGTGGCTCGGTCTCAACACGCCGACCACGTGTTGCAACCGGCAGGAGTAGGTTTTGCACCAGGACGAATGAAGGAATCGTGTATGGAAGAAGTGCAGCACACAAACACAGTCGTTCCTGCTGCACCTCTCGTGTCGCCCTGTGGGCACAAACTTGCACGCGTGAACAGGACATGCGACAACACCAGAGAAACACGTGCTACCGTAGTGTAGCTCGCGTTTGTCTCACCTTCTCCCTCGACGATGGTGAGTGCTGTGGGCGAATGGCTGCATATACAGGCTGTTCGTCCCGTCGACCATCAGTCGATCCTGTCAACCCTTCTGCAAATGGACAGTGGGTCCCTTCGGCATGCGAAGACGCGAGCGCCACGCAGTTCATCGAGCCTCGACCACGCCAGAGCAAGGACGGAGCAGGTTGGTCACTTGCTGACCATTCTCGCGGCTGGGTTCAGTGGGCACGTGTCGCCCACGCATCTCGATCCTGCCGCAATATGGCGTGACTCTTCTTTGTTTGCACGTCTTGATCTGACGATGGTAAGCTGTGTGAAGAAGCGCTGCACGATGCGTCGACCTTATCTTTCGGGTCCATGTGGTCGTTCCCATTGCACGCCGGCCTATCCCATCGGTTCCCGGGCAAATGAACCTCCGGTGCTCTTGCCGTGACGTCTATCACTTTCCAATTTCCTGGACGCCAACAACACTGGAGCACAAGACATGCAGCTCCGTCACACACTGATTGTCCTCGTGGCTGGATGCCTCGGACAAGCGTCAAAGGCAAACGTGGCTACTCCAAACAATCAGTTGAACGGGTGGTACCCGTGCCCGATCGACACTCAGTCGAATGAACCCAACAATGGCAATCTCAGTGCCGAGTGCGCAACCTTCGCGGCTTCTCTGTGCTATCCCGGTATCTGTGAGGCACCGGTGGAGGCGAATCGGACGATCGACGTCTTTGTGAAGCGCTTACTTGCTTCGTCAATCAATGCAGAGGAGGCGTCCAACGTGTGGATGATTCCAGGTGGACCCGGTAGCCCCTCCCTTGCCTGTAAGTGAATCTCTTTCTCTTGCCATATATGTCTGCGAGCTCGAAACTGACTAAAGCTCTTGCACGATGAAGTGGAACGCTCGATGGTGACGTTACACGCGAGTCTGAACGGGTCAGTCAACGTGTACACAATGGATCCTCGCGGTGTTCAACGCAGCACGCGACTGCATTGCGTCTTATCGCAGACCACGACGAGCGGATCTCGATCCAGCCGCACGGATTCCTCGGAGGTTCCATCTTGTGCTAAAGAACTGCAGACGCGGTATGGAGACCTTGCGTCGTTCTCGACAACAAGCGTTGCCATGGACATCGCGACCTTCATCGCCACGTATGTAAATGGTGCACGCACTATCGTGTACGGCGCGAGCTATGGAACGGTGGTGGCTCAACGCCTGATGCACTTGAACCCAACGAATGTGACTGGATACGTTTTGGACGGCATCGTGACGTCTTCAGGACCACCAGTTGACCGTATTTACTATACAAACTGGGACACTGACACTGGTGTAGTGGGCGAGCAGTTCATGGATCTGTGCGCGCAAGACAGGACCTGTGCTGATCACTTTAACGTCACCAACTTGTCGACTACGCTTCGAAATACGATATCGAGATTTGAGATCGACCCCAACTCGACCTGTGCTGACCTGATACGAAACGCGACACAGGATGAACCATCCATTGCTCTCCGACGAACAATGGGCGGGATTCTGATGTATCCAATCACACGGTCACTGATCCCACCGGTGGTGTACAGGCTGAATCGCTGCGATGCCAATGACGTCAACGCGTTGACGCGCTTCTTCGAGCGCAGGTTTCCATCCAACCCAAGGACGGACGAACACCGGGATCTGAACTCGCAATTGCTCTACTACCTGGTCATATTCTCGGAAATGTGGGAGACACCCACGCCTTCCTACGCCGAATTGGAAAATCGATTGACGAGCGTGAGTATTTCAAGCGGAGCTATATACACCAAGCTTCCTTCGTACTGCGTCTTTTCGAAAGAAAAGTCACCAGGGTGTGCTGAGTATGGAGATAACAACTATGAAGCGAACGGGATCATCTATGCGCGTGACCAGTACTGGAACAAGACTGCTGCCGTACCTGATCAAGCGAGTGTGCTTCTGATGAACGGGAAACTCGACCCACAGACTCCTTACAAATACGCCGAGTCTTTGTTTCAGGCACTCGACACACCCAGAAAGGAGCTTGTCGTGTTTGACTACGCGGCGCATATGTTGCTGGATACGACCCCGTATGGAGATGGCACGAAGACGTGCGGTATGAATCTACTGGCTTCGTACGTCGCCAACAATGGTGACCTCAGCCTTTTGGACAAGTCATGCATGTCTGAAATGCCTGCCTTTAACATGACGCCCACGCCCGAGGTCGCGGACTTTTTCTTCGGCACGACTGAGGCGTACGACGGTGTGGCAACTCCAGCTGCGTCCGACGAGAGCGTCCGATTGCAGTAAAGCGACATCGCAATGGTGCACGAAGCTTTTGGACGCACACCCGTTTTCTCATTCGCGAAGCTTTTCATCAGCGAGTAATACACATTGATGATCCAATTGCTGTTCTTCTCCGCTTGTTTTTGACAGTAGTCCGCCTATCAACTACAGCACACACACGTGCACGCAGTCTTACTTGTGCGTGTTGAGTTCAAAGCTGTCATGCAAAGAAACATGAGAATGAGGATCAAGCAAGACATGGCTGGTACTCACAGTCCTACGCCATGTGGTCTAAAGGCAGGCTCGTTCTATCTTTTCATCGTATGGTAGTCCAGCAACGTAAAAGGAAAGAGTAGGTACACATCGTCGGTGGCCTCAGCAATACTAACGCACAGATACCAGCATTGAGGTTCGTCCGTCAGAACTGGTCCTCAAGCTCAACAGAAGTAAGCATATCTTCTTCTATCTCGATCGGTGAATGAGCGTGTGTCGTTATGCAACGTAAATATATGTCAATCTTGCGGTTGGTCCACGTGCGCATCATGTAGTCCTTCCACTTGCGTACGATACTCTCGTTATTTGCTATGCGTCAGAACATCAGAGTCCTGGAAACTAGATCCGATCGCCACCAGGTGCTTTCTTGTTTCGATGGCAGCACCTTGGGTCATTCTTGAAGGGTTGTTAGTCTCTAAGACGTTGTATCACCCACCTGGAAGTGCTATCAGCACACGAGGACATGCAAGGTATAAAGGCACAGGAGCAGGAACCATATGTACAGCGAATCTACTGAGAAGATACACTTCCTAGGTCAATAGGTGTCATCACACATATGTCGGATGAAAATGGCGATGATCTAGCACTACCTGGGGAGGTAGGTGCTGGATGCACTAGCGCTGGCACTGTCTGTATACGATCACAGCTCACCTCGATAGCAGCAATAGAGATCTGCCTGTGGCATCAACTGACACTGTCCGACAGTCACCTGTTCTAAAATGCGCGACTGCAATACATAATGTCTGGTTTGGAGCTCCACGCGCATGAGACGCAGCCTCTTATGGTCGGACCGTCGTGCTTTCTAGCTCATGAGATCACTTTATACGAGCGACAAAACACGTTACCCGTATCGTTTGTTCCTTGGAACGTATATGACCCTTGACAAATGTTTCTTGGTCCAGGAGAAGTAGCGTATTCTCCGTTCACTTTATAATTTTAGCTGTGGCAGGTGCACGCAACACCGGGGAGGCCTACGAACAAAGGCCGACAATGTCCAGCTTCGCCATGATGGATACATCCCGATCGTCTCGTCCGTCCTGTATGGCAGCAAATGCCCACCCGCATTCGCTCGCAACATATTGCGACCAGTACTAACGCAAAACTGCTTCGTTCACAGCGTCTTCACTGACAGTAACGGCAAAAAAACACACAATTCGCAACATCGGTGTCAGAACCATCGAAACGGCCAGCGACGTCATCGACGACGGTGCTTCAAACTGCCTTTATCTGCTTCTTTCGACTATCTAGCATGCTGGACCATTCTTCAGGTGTCCGATCGGTACATCTGCTTTAGTTGCTCGACTGACAATACGTGGTCAATGATGGATCGATACGTTCTTTTCGATGCTACTTCGGAGAGGGTGCTAGAAGTCATACAAGTCACTGCACCTGGTGTTGGGGCAGACAGAATGACGCGTAGAAGCACTTTGTACATCAACGTCGAATACGTTCGTGCTGCTTGATGGCGAATGACACGGCTTCGGTGGCGAGCAAAATCTGTCATGATGCTACGAAGCACTCCTCAAAAAGAGAGAGAGAGCATTTGAACACATCACGACTCATTCTGTGGACACTGAACGGTGAGGCCAAAGACACTTCAAGCGGCGACGTCAGCTGCAACAGCAGTGGCGGCGATTCGTCCAACCTACGCGTGTTACCAAACATCGCCTACATGTATATAGCCTTCACGGGTTTGCCTTCACATCGGGTCTGTGCGTGCGTTTTAGCTTCCGCGCACGCACTGATGAGGAGCGTGAGACGCACGACCGCGCGCATCAGACGCGGTGGCCCAATTCTCAGATTTGTGACTGACACCACACCACAAATGCGCTCGAATTAGCTGCTGGATTTGCAGTCGAAGGGCTGATTGCCTCAGTGCGGGGAGGGCTGACGTGGTCAAATAGTCCCTGCCGTACGTGATACCCTGTGATAGCACTTCACAGCACACCACGAGGAAGAACGTAAATGTCACAGATCCACTGCCATAGCTCCGGGAGCTGTGCAATACCTCCACAAACCGATTCCACCCATCGTCTGCTCGTCACGAGCTCTTCAGAACGACATTCACACCGCAAAGTCCACTTGTCCCGTCGTCTCCGCTTCTGCTCTGCTGCTCTTCTTCATGCGCCGGTCGTGTCGCCACCCGCTCGCGGCCACCGCAGTCGCTGCCGCGCTCTTTGTCGCTCTCGCGTCCTGCTCGGACGTCGTTGAGACCCGCGCGACCGGTACGCGGCCAACGCGCCGTCGCGCTGTCGATTGCCTCTCGTGTCGCGCTCCCTCACTCTGTGTCGATGTCGTTTGTGTGCTTCTGCCTCCTGTAGATGCCAATGCCCCGTCTTTACCACTCACAGAAGCGCTCCAGCGCGTGCAGACTGAACACGCCGCCGTGCGCGACCTCAGCGACGCGGCGCTGTCGCCTCTCGTGTCTGCTGCCGAGCGTCGCGAGGCGCTGGTGCAGCTGGGAGACATGTATTTCTACGGCAACCGCTCGCTCAACACGCGCGTGAACGGCACGCTCGCAATGCGGCTGTACGCAGAGGCAGCGGATCTGGGGGCGCCGAGGGCGCAGTTTCACGTGGGCGTAGCGCTGAGCTACGGCCTGTGGGGCTTTCCGCTGGACGAAGCTGGTGCCATGACGCGCTACTACTTTGCTGCCCTCGGTGGGGACATTGGCGCTGCCATGGCACTGGGATACAAGCACCACATGGGACTTGGCGCCCCGAAGAAGTGCGAGTCAGCCGTGCGGTACTATGAAGTAGCAGCGGACGATGCAGTGGCGAGACGGGAAGAGAATGTCAGTCATCCCGTCATGTTCGACTTGCCGCAGCGCCGTCTGAAAACTATGGCGGAGAAGGTGCACAAGAAGATTGCGCCGAGTGACAGCGCGATTGTCGACTACTTTCGCTTCTCGGCCGACAAAGGCGATGCAGACGCTACATTGAGCTTAGCGACGCTGTACTACTACGGCGCGCGCGGATTGACGCAGGACTTGGACCGCGCAGCACTCCTTTTTCAGAAGGCTTACGATTTGGGGGCCAGTGAGGGAGCGTACCATCTGGGGCACATATACAGTTATGGCATTGGTGTGATGCAGAACAATGAGACAGCGTTCGAATATCTGCAAGAGGCAGTGAATGAGGGCATCGCCGCGGCGCAGAATGAGCTGGCGCACATGTATCTGATTGGAAAGGGTGTTGAACCGAACGAGGTGCGAGCGGTAGAGCTGTACAAGGCTGCAGCGAAGCAAGGAAGCATGGAGGCATTTTACAACTTGGGTGTCCTATACATGCGAGGTGAAAGCGCAACGAGCTTTTCATTTACAGCGGATCATCCTGAATACGAGGTCGCGTACAGCTTCTTCCAGGTGGCTGCGCTCCAAGGCCACACTGTTGCGAGTCACAAAGTTGGTCATATGAGACTGCACGGAATCGGCACAACTCCGTTGTGCAAGAGTGCAGTTGAGTCGTTTAAATCGGTGGCCGAGCGTGGAGATGGGGAGCGTGTGCTAGCACAGGCTTACGACGATTTCAAGCGCCAAGACTACGAAGCATCCTTCATAAAGTACGCTGTGTTGGCACAACAAGGCTACGAGGTCGCTCAGCATAATGCTGCGTACCTGTTGGACTATAACTTCTTGACACCGTCACCGTTGTCACCCATGCTGTCGTTGTCGCCTCCAAGTGTTGGACTCGACGCGGATGGCGCGGCTTCAACTGCCCTGCTGTTGTACAGGCTAGCAGCGCAGCAGGGTAATGTGGATGCAAACTTGAAGATTGGCGACTACTTCTATTATGGTAAAGGGGGGCATCCGGTGGACTTTGTTAAGGCTAGTGCGCACTACTCCCTTGCCAGCAAACGGTCGAATGCAGAAGCGATGTTCAATCTTGCGCTAATGTACGAGCACGGAATTGGAGTGGATCGAGATTTTTATCTGGCCAAGCGCTACTTTGATAAGGCACGTGTAGCTCACAGCGATGCCAACGTGCCAGTAGCGCTTGCGCTATGGAAATTGCGGGCTCACGCGTATTTTCGTTCATGGACGAAATGGTGGAAAGAGTTGGTAGAGGATGTGCAACCGGTCGCTGAGAACGGGTTGCACCCGTTAGCTTCATCAGGCGTCGCGCCAAGCAGCAGTCACAACGTTGCTGAAACTGAAGAGGACACGAGCGCTTCTTTGCTTATTTGGCTGAAGGAGTGGTGGTCGGGTGATGCAAACGTGAGCGCGGATACGATTTCGCGTGTCACTGTCGGCGACATGCTTCAGTCCGACAATTTTTTCATCTTTGTATTGACGATCGCTCTCGGCGTCGTCCTGTATATTCGTTCTGAGCGACAGCACCTGTGAACGCCAATTTGCAGGGCTGCCTGAAGCAAGTAATGTGAATACGGAAAGGAGGTGTGAAAGCCATGACCCGGCAGCAACAGCAGGATCATTGCATCATATCTTTACTGCCTGTGTAATACAGACTCGTTCGTGTGACGCTCGTAGTATACTTTGACGTTGATTATTCGTAGCCACACTTGTGGTGGCGCTTCGTAGTCACCTGCATGTTATTACATGGGGTCCTTGTCAATTGAAAAACTGCACCGAGTGGATGTCATGTACGCTGCATGGCATCGATAGAGGTGTTTGATGTTTTCCTCGCACTTCTAGTCGGTAACTTCTCGATCAATAAGCCGAGTTGTGCGTGATCACGATACTTCACCGTTGAGTAACGGTCCTCGATATGCTCGTCATAAGGAAACGAACGCTATGCTCCAATAAGCAAGCGAAGGACTGATGCCAGAACCAACGTTATGTCCACATGATCAAGCAATGGAACGGTACAGCTAAGCACCGGCCTTCGACATACTCGTCATAAGAGCTTTAGCGCTATGTCCACGTGATCAAGTGATGGAATGTTTGTCACGGCTGAATGTCGAAGTATTCGATCACAGCCATGCACACGTTGATCGGTGTAAATCAAGAACGAGAGGTTCGATATGGAAACGTAGGCATAGTGATTGGTGTGTGATTGTCAAACTTTGGTACACCACAGGGCGCATCGTCGTGTGATCGAAGTAGCATTAGGCACATCGTCATCGACGAATATTCAGACATTATACGCTGTCCATAGCCATTGCGTGCGCGAAGCCACACTATCATTGATCATGGCTTACTTGGGTTGTGCACAGCCTGTTGCGGTTGTGCTATGTACGACTCGAAAAACTTAGCAAGTCGCATGCTCTCGTGCACATGGCTTTATAACAGTAAATGGGCTTTTGGTTTAGGCGGTTCAACCACAGATTCGTTGCAAACAGTCGTCCAAACGTGACTCAGCGGATTCTAGAAAAAGGAATGCACTGAATAATTGTAATAGTACTATAAGCGACCACAAAAAGACAAGGCAAACCAACCATGAGATCACGAAAGTATAAAAACACCATAAGACCACAAGACTAAAAACTAGTGCACGAATGCTAGCTTCTGCACATTTCGTCATTGCGCGTTTGTGCACACGCCTGGTGTTATTCATACATGTCCTCACATATCGTCAACGATCATTTGTCACTAAGTTATTCACAAACATTTGCCTCTTCATCTGTCGGCGTTCAATTATTTCGCGATACACCTGTGTTGTAGCTCCAGTGCAGCCTCACACGTTTTCCACCACAGGATGTGAGCCACGTACAACATCCTCCTTCATTCCGCTTCCACTGGTCCAGCATATCGCCAACGCGTAGCTGTCCCCTGTGGCGTCGTCCATGAAGATAAGCAGTAAAAAGGTATCGCAGTGTCAAATTGTGGAATTTAATTCTGTAAGATAAATAAGATCGACTGAAGGCAATACGACGATGGATACATGGTGGCAGCAACTGGAGGCGGTATACTGGAGAGATGAAGGGAGCTCGTTGACGCTATTGCATGGAGTCATGCAGAGCTTGTGAGTGCTGTAAAGCTCAAGGCCGTCGTCACGCTAGACGAGAAGCGTTTGAACATCGTCGATAGCATACGATATGTGTTTCGCATACCGATAGCTTCGGATCGTTGATAGCGGGCAACTTGAAGGCAGCCGCAAGATGTGGACGAAACTTTTGAATAGACATGAGGCGCACACGTGATGCGTTTTCGCTAATTATTCCCATGCCTAACTGGCTTTGATACATGGTGTATACTGACTGTTGATACTGCGAATGTAATGGGGCGAGCCAGGTACATGTCATTGGCACGAATTGTGCCAATGTAAAAAAAATTGTAAATTGAGAATAATGTAGAATATTACTCTTGCGAAGAAATATTGTTGATCTATTATATATAGAGGTAAGATTCGGCACCGCTTCGCGCTTAGTTGGTGCAGGCCATGATATCAACCGAATAAACCATTAGTCTCTGCTAGACGCGCGCAATGGGTGAGGAGTGAATTTCTGCATCGGAAGTTTGTAGTTTAACATCGTCTAAGGAAGATAAAGATGGTTTATTAACGAGGTTTAACTATATTAAATATGCAGTTTTACTTTTCCTTCCTCTGAGCACCTCTTGCTCAGATTCTTTACTTCCTCTGCACGTGCGGTTTACGTGGAGTTTTAGGAGCGCACACATTGTACTGTTTCGGTACAAGGGCGTACCAGTTATGTAGTAAGAAGTGTGCCCATGCCGACGCTTCGCGTAGTGTTGCATGCACCAAGTGAGACGTCGACTTTATTTCAGATCGATTTAGCCTTTATTTGCTTCTCTGGCCAGTAAGTCGAATGCGAACAGATGGCTTGCCGTGTCTACTACCGCGTGTCCACCGTCTTTGGCTTCAACGATACCACAAAAACAAATGTGTCCATTGCGACTGAGCAGCAAGAAGAACCTCCCATCCTTGCTTTGAGCTGATGACACTCTTTTACACGACCGTGCAAGTGAACCCTTCGTTGATAGAGTGCGCAAAGTCGATGGAGTGCTACAGCCGTCAAAACTGAAAATGCGAAGAATGGTATCAGTGGTGTGGGTCTATTTTGTCATTTGCCGTTTGGAAGATGCGATGAAATATGCAATAGCGCAATTTGCTGTGGGGAATAGGATGCACACAGGCGTAGGTATATTGGTCTTCTCGGTCCACATGTCGGACATGTAGCACAATGTTGATACTTCATTCGGACACATTCTTGACACAGTCGCTCTGCCTGCGTTCAGACAAACTGTGACGCTCGCGTCGTAGAGTCTATGTATCCGGAAGCAAAACGTGTCAGCTTATAGTGCGACACGAATGAGTCTGTTGGACACGTAGACCGATCTGACGTTGCAAAAAAAATAATTGGAAACGCTTCATCTCGCAACCACGTTGGTTTGTATTTTGACCACTATGTCAATACTTTCCCACGTGATTCGACGAATTTATATGTTTGCATGCAAATGACATGTCGTCGGCACATTGCAAATGTTGTGATTATATGAGGCACAATCTCTCGATTTTTTTCATCTCGTGGTATCCTTTCCATTGATTGTCCCGGTTATTTCGTGCCTTTTTGTAATCCCCCTGGAATTCTACTTTTAACTCTCAAGAACGCATGCGCGAGGAGCAGCGAGTAGATAGTTACACTATCGAATCGAAGTTGTAGATTGTTGACAGAAGTTCTCACATGATCTATACCGATGAGACAAACTGTATAATATAGCATACTTCCCTTGTCCTCGATTCGACTGATCTATGCAAGCGAGCACTTCCTGCATACAGTTTGCGTGTGAGACATCGAGTGCTCTAGCTAACACTGCCATCAGCAATGGTCGCTTGCACCGTAATTAGTGCCGGCGCGACGTGGCCCTTTCGCTCACATTTGTGCGTTCAGGAGGTACTGTAGGCGTGCCGTCCTTTGGAAGATCTCAGTCAAGCTAGCAGGAGGTGCGGACGTTTGTAAAGATAGCCCAATGCGTTTACGAACTTATCCAACCGTTGGATAGAAAGCGAGAACGAAGCACACTCGATTCCGTCATCATTTTATCCGCGAAGAGATTTTGTTATCGAAGTTTATATTGAGGTACATTGAAGAAACAGTAAGCACATATCCACACGAGAACTCTTGGGACGCAGGAAAGACACAGTAATTTCTGCGTGAACGGTGTGGCATCTAAAAGTGTGAAGTCTCCCATGTGAGGGGGAGAAGTAAACAAGCGCGCACTTGCAGATGCCTATACCAAGACTTGAGGCTGCAGTTGCCATAGTGCGCAGAGGCATGTTGAGCGATCATAAGTGTATCATGCATGCGTACGTAATCACTGTCAGGGCCAACACAGTTTCCCTGTCGATTACACTGTTTACACATCAGATAGATGGCTGCGGGTTCAGAGAAAACTGCACTACGTAAACGGCATCGCTTGGCAATCTTTGCGCATATCCTCTTCTCCTTTCTTTCTAATGTTTACGTTCGCGATCTAAAAATCTTCCACAACTGCGTCGGTTCACTCAAATTCAAACAGCCACTATCATATGGTTTTTTGGCTGGGTTCTTTGTCGCTTCTCGATGCACGCGCTGCCATTTCTGATCATACGTCCTCACGACTCCATCGTGTATTCAAAACGAATTTGACGCCATGGCTGCCACTGCCGTGTCCTCCTCTCCTGCACTACTGCGGTCTGCGCCGTTTTCGAAAAGCTCGTCCGACATTGTCATCCGTCAGTTCCGCCATAATGATTTGGCTCAAGTAATTGAGCTCTTCAAAGAGGGCATGCTCGTGAGAGGAACGGACGAACTGATGGACGCGTATATTGCCACCAGTCTGGAAACGGACCTCAGCGATATCGAAGGCACGTACATCAAGCCTGGCGGCAACTTCTGGATTGCCACGCCTCGTGACGATCCGACCCTCGTTGTGGGCACGGTCGGGCTCGAAGTGAGGTCCAAGCACCAAGGTTATCTCCGGCGACTGTCGGTCAGGAGTACACATCACCGACGTGGCATTGGCCGGCTGCTCATCTCGACGCTAGAACACTACGCACGTGACCGTCTACTCGACCACATCCAGCTTGGCACGAGAGGATTCATGAATAAAGCACGGGCTCTATACCGTCTGGAAGGGTACACGGAGACAGAGGTGATTGTCATCCGTGACGAACCTCGTGCTGAGGTGATCATGATTGAGAAACGCTTACACGTGTCTAGTCAGGGACGGACGCACTAGCTGACGGAAAGCGTCACGTGGGTAGTAATGCAGCGATTTGGTGGAACATGTGTAGTTGGGTCGTGGATCTGATGCACGTGTTAAACTCGCATCTTGGTTGCAACGTTTCTACAAGAAGCGCGTCGCTTGATCTAAATGCTGACTCGCTCACGATTCGAACGTTTTGTGTCACCAATCGAAGCTTCTGCAGCCTCTTTCGACTACATTGGACGATGGAACTGTCGATCATCAACGCATGTCGTTTTTCTGTGCAAATGCCTGTTACTTATCTTCCTTCTGTGTTCGAGAAATTCTTGTGACCAATCTATATTCTGTCGTTCTACGCACGACGCAAGCCTGCGTCTACCGAAGACTGGGTCGCGACATCTCTTGCTACAACCCATGTATACTTCCACTTGATCACTAGCAAGTTGGATATGCATGTAGGTCGTATCAAGCTTTGCAAGCAGAACTGAGGTGTAAATAATGGGGCCGTACGACTCGGACACCGTGTCGTCGATGTCAGGGAACAGTTTCTAGATCTTCTTCGATGCTATGTATTGCTGCTGTTGTCTAGTCCGTAGCAATGGTCGTGCTAACGAAAGTCCTGCTTACACAAACTGCAACTGTCGTAGACCCGCAAGGATCTCGTAGCACTTACCGCTGTCTCTGTACTCCAATAAGCTTACACGACCAATGTTGATGCCGCACATCTTCATCTGTCATACCACAAATAAGTATACCGTCGTGACACACGGTAAGTGCTTGAAGGGCGTCATGAAGATCTGATTGACTTGTGGCATGTAGGCCGCTTCTTTTGTCAAACATTGCCCTCGAGCCTGGACATTGCGCGGTGTGTAATTCTATACGATTGCAGTCAAAGCATTTTTACGCCATATGCCACGAACGGTAGACAAAGCGCTCGTGCGATCGAAGGATGTTGCAAGCTCAAGTTTGGAGGCTGCGCTATGGTACAATGCGTATAATTTCAGCTCATCACGCGCTTGTCAGAGCAGAGTATTACGGAGCTAAGCGTGAGACGAGATGAAAGTAAACAACAATGTTTTAATCGTCTCATTCCTTCGACGAGCTCAATCGTCGATCAAAACGATATTGGGGGCGTGGACCTTCGCACAGCATGCGTAATCTTTGGTGACACGGTCGAACAAGGAGATGCGTCAATGCGGGTGGACTATTACGTACAAACGCCACACAAGTAATGAAGGAGTACTGTGCAAACTTCGCAGTTGCTGTATATCGAACAACCAAGAAAACGTCCGGTCCCCGAGCGTCTTTATATCATTCGGGGGTACGTTGACTCTGGCATGAGGTTTTCGTGGCAACACGACAACAGATGGGCGCCTCGACCTGCTATCGCAATCCTCTTGTCTTAGCCATCATTTGAGTATCTACATGAACTCTTCCGACACTCTGTTACCAATGACACAGTCAGGTTGATGCCATGGAGTATCGTACAAGGACTGCGCACTATTGACGCCAAACGTGTGTGCACGCCATTTGCTTGAAGAGCTGCAATGAACGCATCAGTGAGCAATTTGTTTAAAGCGCTGCAATGAACGCATCAGCTGCATTGAATACAGGAAGCAGCGGAGGAAATACACTTCTTGCTAGTGGCCCAGCTGTTGGGGCTGCGGCAAATATACACGTGAACCGAATCGTGCGCGGAAGCAATCAGCCACCTCGCTTCGAGGTAACGTTTGCGCTATACCGTGCCAAATTAGAACTGTGCCTTGGTAAGCGTCAAAGCTGGGACGTCGTCCGTGGTACGAAGATCCGCCATGCCTCGGAATCGGATTTGCAGAGAGGGATTGGCGAGAGGGATTGTCGTGCTCGGGCTACAATTTTACGAGGACTACGCGGGTGCCAAAAAGATGATGCAACAAAAGTGTATTCAATGGCGGCAGCAGCTGAAGTTTGGGCATCGCTCGTAGATGACAAGACTCAGCGCAACTTCTCTTATGCAGTACTGGTAAGAATTCAATTGTACCAGCATTCTCATAACGTCACGAAATAGCTAATCACCGGAATAGAGACCCTGAGAAAAATTTAAAATTTGTCTGAAGTCAGCGTGAAAATGGACGATTAAACGTGAGAACTTGAGACCAAGAATAATTCTATTCATTTGAGATTTGAATCGCGAAGCGCGCGACTATAGGCGATAGTGCGCCCAGCAAAAATATCACGAAAATATCACAAACAGTTGGCATTACCAGCATTACCAGCTTATTGCCGGAAACCACCACGTAAAAAGGCAGTTTAAATCTGGGATGATTGCTATACGCTAATGTTCTGCAAGTCCTCATGCGTTATATTCGACGGTTCATGTCAATAGTCTTGCTCCGCTTACGAGCATTAGTAGAGGACGCAGGATGCACCAGAATCTCGGTTTCCACGACCTCTCTGAATTTGAGCCAACAGGGCAACTCGACGTCCTTAACGCATCCACCATCTTGAAACAGCTTGAGCCAACGCTACTGTTTCGGCAGTAGCACTGGCCAGAGTCCGCTCGCTATGAAGCCAGAGACCACATTGGCAGGCTGGTGTACGATGGCCTTGGTCCACGCGGCGCTTACTAAGCGATGTATGTTTTAGCGCGAGATGGAGCCTTCGGCCCCATTCAGGTTGCACTCACGCATCACGGAATCGATATTAGACTTAATGGATTGAACACAGCCACGGCGGTAGCGTAGCGACAAATCAGGATAATCGTTGAGAAAGCATGATACCCACCGTAATGTAAGGAAGCCTGTATCCGCGTCACACCGTTTTTGGCTCGGTATATGTCTTTTTCCTTGCCAGTACTGCCTCAAAAATTAATTGGTAGGCTATAATTCTGCGTTCCGAACACCCATTCACTCAAGATCACCGTCCAGTTTTACTCCCAGTATTGGCGGCGACCCAGGCTTTCGTAAGGCCACGCCTTTTTTTAAGTAGGTCGGTTCCATACCGAATCGTTCGCTCCGGAATGCCGAATATTCGTTACAAACGCGGCCGACCTTGGCAACCGCGGCATGCGCGCGCACAGCAGCGTTTATGTCTTCTGCTGAGTAATTCTTTTTCCCCGCAGCCGAGATGACGGCCTTCTTGTTCTCCTTACCCTTTGCCACGCTCAACGTCTCAGCCAGACTGTCTGGATCGTCACGTCTTTTTCAATAATTGGGTAATCGACGTAGCAGCAAACCATGACATCTTGAGCCTTAAACAACGAGCTGTGATTGGCAGATATGTGTTTTGGCAATGATTCGGGTTATCGGTAGCATAACGTTTCAATTCATCGACTTACCACGATTATCGTGGTAAGTAGATGGTGAAATATTTGAAGATTATGGCAAACTTACGACAACAATCACATAGTTTGGGCGTAAATCACATTATCAACGATGTTTAGATGACACGAACCCTTTCAACTAGTGTCGCTATAACGCATCGGCAACATATTGAGCAATATGACCTCCCAATCAGACAAGCAATATCACCTACACTTCAATAAGTCACGAATACGCTACAATCACGGGAAGAGCGCGACAAAATGGTTGATGATGATAACACAAAAGGACATGGTGGTCGAGAAGCCTTGGTAATGAATGCTAAGCATTGTTCCAGATACCCGAGGGATCGTGGGACAAGAAGAACCACATCATTTTTAAGTGCTTTTATTGTGAAAAGAACGCTCTCTGCCGGCGAGATTGTTGGTATTGAGAGAAGTAATGAGCAAGATTTATGACAGCAAGAACAAGCACAAGCATTTGATATAGTGGAAGAAGGAGAGGAAAGAAAATTGAGGTCATCCTAAGGAACATCAAGTACTACGTTCAACAAAATGCGCGAACACTTCGGTAAAAGCACTAGTTAAAGCGATGAAGAACACTTGGTCGTGGGCATGGTAGCAAATCATACGCATGCAAGAGACCATGTTACTTGGACTATGGATGCACCACACATGTATGTACAGAGCGAAAGCGTTTTACAACATCAAGAAATCGAAAGCACTCTTCACCGTGTGGACAGGCGAAAAGACAAGTGGTACCGTGAGCGGATCTATGCTGATCAACATTATGAATTAAAATCATCGCACGCTAATGAAGTTGCAACTAGATGATGTGAAATATGCATCAAAAGGAAGAACATATATTCTACGCCCAGGAGAGATGGAAAAGAGAAACTTTCTCCCTTCTTTTTGTTAGGCATCTGTTGCCCCTAAAAGAATGTTGTTAGATCGTGGGACAAAGCGGCTGGAATTTGTAAAAAATGTAAACATTATTGGCTGAAAGCATCGTCCCCGATAACTTTTAATACTGAGCTTTGAATGATGACTCTTAACACCGATACATGTCCATTAATGCGATGGCACGAACAACGTTAAAGCAAATGGTAGACAAATACGTTTTCAATGGGATGCACATACCGGTACAGGTGTTTAGTATCACTCATCCTATTTAAGCTCTAAAATAGAAGGTTAGAAACGAATGTCATACAAGACAAGCGCTGCAGGGAAGCTAATATTGTATAATATGAACGCTATCTATCGTATGTCAGTGACATATGAACAATATTAATCGGGGTGAAAATACCGATACTTGGACTTATACAAGACGAGGGATCTCGATTCAAATAATGTAACGGATGAAATAAAATACCGAATTAAGTGACAACGTCAATGTGGTGGTAACGGAGATTTTTGCTCAAAGACATCGCATCCAAATATATCAGCGATGGAGTTTGTGGGTTGTCAATGCTACCCTGAAGGCGTTTATAGCGGCACCGGGTATCTACTTTGTACCTACACCTTCAAAGTCTTTAGAAAAAAATGTCTTGGTAAAAAATGGAATGGTGTATTGGTAAATGAGATGCGAGCAGAAATGGATGCTGCTGATCTTTTCACCAAGATTTGACCAGAAGTACTTCAGTACAGTGTTGATATCGGTTACATTAGTGCAACAAGTGCACTAAGAGCCAAAAAGACATTAGAAACGTTGCTCGGCAATAAACCTGATTTAAGC